ATGGAATGCTTAGACTTGATATCATTGTCAAATGAATTGGGCAATCTCATATCTTTGACTAGCTTAAATATGGAGTGGTTCTTCAGATTGATATCATTGCCAAATGAATTAGACAATCTTACATCTTTGTCTATCTTAAATATAAGTGGGAGCTCAAGCTTTATTTGATTGTCTAATGAATTAGACAATCTCACATCTTTGATTACCTTAAATATGAAGTGGGTGTAAAAGCTCGACATCATTGCCAAATGAATTGAGCAACCTCACATCTTTGACTATGTTAAATATGAATGGATACTTAAATTTGATATTATTATCAATTGAATTGGGCTACATCTCATCTTCGACTTAATTTTATATAGGAAGGTCTTTAAGCTTGATATTAATATCAAAAAGAATGGTCAATGCATTCTTAGAAAGATACCTTTAAAATCAAGTCAAGAGTCAATAGATAATATACTTACAAGTTCAAGAAAAATATAAAATTAAGTCTAGATAAAATATTTACATAAACTAGAAGATTATTGTAAGTACGTACATAAAATATCTAACTTGTTTAGTTTTTAAAGTGAATGATAAGTTTATAATTTAAAACTTATGATTAACTAGTTGGAATTATGTAGGTATTTTTAGTTTCTTGATACTTTTATTTTTTAATTGTAACATAATATATCTTCTTATTTTTAAGGTTAATAATTCCAATAGTATAAATAATTTATCATATAAGATCCTAGTTAAAAAGGTATAGTTGCTTTGACTTTAATTTTGAGCCTAGGTTGAATTCAAACCTTAAGATATAAAATTACAATCTCATGGAAAAATCATGATTTCATTAAGATTTTTTTAGGATTATATTAAGATTTTATTAAGATTTTATTAAGAAGAAAAATAAGTAGAAAAATAGGTAGCTCAAAAAGAATTAGAGATAAGAAGAAGATAAGGATAGAGAGCCAAGTGTTGCTTTTCATCAATCCTAACGTGGAGGATATTAAATGCATTTGAACAACTTTACAACATGTTAATAACCAATATTTGCAACCACCACCATCAATGCAATGCTTGAGTGATGCTATTTATGTAAGAAAGAATTTTTTATATATTAATGAACAAATGAGAGTATGAAAAACATAGAAGAATAAAAAAAGTAGCAATAAATCACAATATTATATATACAACTTCTAAAGAATGGTATTATGGAATCATATCTATCTAAAATAAGGGTAGTTTAATAGATGCTAAGAATAAGAGAAGAAAACAAACTCAAGAAAATTCTAAGTAAATTTTAACCAATTCCTACATCCATTTTAAAATCTCAAAATTATTAATCAAATCTTTAATCTTAACTGAAATTTTACCCACATTTTAATCCACAAGCAAATAGCAAGCATATAAAAGTTTAGGAAAATCAAATTTACCAATTGAAATAAATAATTCTTCAAATTCTTTGATGTAGGTCCCTTTCCTTCATCAATTCAAATATTTATCTTTTAGCAATAATTTCTCTTTGCTAAACTATTCAATTAATTTATAAATTGATATATATATATGTAAATATTTAAGTTCAAATTGATCTCATCAAATTTTATTTTAATCAAATTGGTCTATTTTTCAGAATCACAAAAACCCTCACTGACATTTAATTTTAAATAACCAAGACTCTAATCCAATATAATTCTAATATCCTTTAATCTAATTTCTTGATTGATATAAAATTTATTGACTATATTTAAATCAAGTACAGTAATAATTTCATTGAATTTCACCTATAAATTTAATATTTATATAATCTTCAAATTTATAAATTTCTTTTTATTTCTCAAAACTCAAAACCATTGAATCTAACTTGCACTTTGAAAAGTTCTTAAAAACTCAATATGCATTCGAATCATTTAAAATCTATGTCTAAGTAATCTCTTTAAAGTCTTCTCTCTAATTACACTCTTTGATCAGCAATAGAGCTCCAAAATTGCCATAAGTGTATAATTTTGTGCCTTGAGATTTGATTTTGATCCAAGTTCATAATCAGTCTTCTTTAGGTATCAATTCTTGATTTCTTAAAGTAATTTTTGCTAAAAACATAATCTTAACTTTTTTCAAAAGATGCATATATTAATTATTTATCTCATCTATTTTAATTTGTTTCATTTGGGGCTCTAAAAAATAAGTAAAAATCTTTTTTATAAGAAGGTAACATTAGTACTTATTAATTTTTACTACCTCCTTCTCTATTATTTATATTTCTAAGATAATTTACTAAAATTGTTTCATTTAAGCTCTTCTATAATATAATCTTTTTTTTCTTCTTTCACCTAATGGATGTGTTACAACAACATTTCTTCTTAATGCTATCTACCGTCATATATTCACCCAATTCAAAGAAACGCAATGTGGATCTTATAATAAATTTTTCTAAATCATTAATCTTAACATTAGAGATACTGTGCAGCAAATATAAGATCAAAATCTTGAACAAAAAAGAAAGAAAGAAAGAACATGAATTAAAGGAGAAGAATCAAAATATAAAAGATTAGTAGATATAATAGAGAGGAGGCTTTTAAGAGAAACCCATTAGGTTGTAATGGCAAAAAACCAACCCCCAAGACACTTCAATGAGATGCTTTGGCACAAGAACATGTTTGCAAGGTACTTAAGTTAGAAACCTTGTATTTAGTTGTGCATGAAGTGATTGCTTGTACCAAAGAGACACAGTGCTAGGATTTGTAAGATCAACAAGAGTCATTGCACCAAACTTATCTAGCTTAAGTACCTTTTAACCTTGAATCTTGTATGTTGCAATTAGCAAGAAGATTGTGGAGACAATTAAGGTGATTTGATTCTTTCATTTCTACATAGAGTGTGTGGAGATGTCTAAATAAGATCAATATTATAGGTAATATTCTAAAAAATATTCTTGACATTGCAAAGAAATATTTGGAGCATGTTCATATTATATAAAGGTCTTTTATGAAATCTGATACTACATAAGTGTTGCCAGTCCAAGTTGGCATTAGAGACAAGAGGAGGGAGAGGAAAAAATCCACCCAATCTGGCATTAAAGAAGTGTTGTTGATCTTATTCAATGTTGCGAGAAGCTCTTGGATAAAGCTTATTGATATTGAGAGTTCAACATAGAGTGCAATAGGGCCACATAATTTGAAGCTTGATCAGTGCATATAGACACCAAAATTGTAGTTTATGAACAACTTTCATTTATTGTTTGGAAGCTTGTTTCAAAACTATGGTAATTCTATACAATCCATGCTACAATTGCAACAATTGTCCATCAATACAAACCTCACAATTTTGTAATACTTTATCTATGGCCTATGCAAGTCTATGGCAAAGAAAGAACTTAAAGAAATTAGTCTTCAGAAATTCATAAATGGAGAATCTCAACCGTCACAAAGTAGACCATCTTTACATTGTTTTGTGATTCTCTTAGGTTTCCTGAGGAATTTTGGCAACATCTTCCACCTTGTTTTTTCTTCTTGATTTTTGTGTTTTCCCAAAGACTATAGTATTCATCTGTCCCGCAAAGGCCTTACTGATCTAGTCCTATTACAAAACTTGAGTATTAAGTCTTGAATTCAAATCATGCTTAGATAGCTTTCAAATTTATCTTTTATGACTGTGACAACTTCAGTGATAATAATCTCAGCACCTAAATTCTTGTTTGACAATTGGAAATTCCTTCAAGGTCACAATCGTTCAGACATTATCCCAGTGCATAGCAATCTTGATACTTACCCTCATTATGGGGTTGACGAATTGGCTTCACTGTTCATAATATCGACGCTCCTCTGTGGGTAATGATAGATCATAAGCACAAGGACTTGACCTGCAACATGTCGATCACAAGGTTGAGCACCTTTGTTAATCTTTGATACTCCGCTTCTCAATTTCTTGGTTTGAAAATGTGATATGAGCTAGGTGGTAGACCGATTAAAGTTCACTCAGAACCCATTGGACGTCAGAGAAGCAGGAGATGTTACTGTGCCATTCTATCACTTTCATAGACATACCCTGACTGTTTGAATTAGCAATCGGTTTCAGGACCTGGCACGTGAAGATTTCTCATTCATCTTACCAATTGCTTTTGAATGTCCCTGAGAAAAATAGGAGACATAACATTTTGGGACAGTTTAAAACATAATACAACTTGAAGTTTGAGAGGTCTGTGACGGCTGAATTTGTACCACTGGATTTCTCCGAACTGCTGTCCTTCGTGACTCTGACGGCTAGAAATGGATGTGTTTTTGTGAGAAGGATCTCCATCAGGATTTGAATTTGCCTTTCCACAGTAGGACATGCTTATGAATCTGTGGCATACAGTGTGTCATCAAACTCTTTATTTAATTTTTAATTTTTTAATTTTTTAATTTTTTTTAATTTTTATTTTTCCTTTTCTTTTGAAAAAGTGTCAATAATGTGTCGTTCAAGGTGATTATCTGCAAGGATTTACACAATAGTCTACACGCACAGGTCATTAAGTACTAGGGCCACCAGGAGTGTATCTTGAAGCATGCGCAGACACAATTCTCGGTTCACACAAAGGTGATCACTTCGAAGTAATTGAAAGAGAGCCCGTCTGCTTCTGCCTCCAACACGTATGTCTTGAAGCCTCCCTTCCATTCAGCTGCTCTACACATGCTCCAAACATTTCTATGACGTCCCGTCCCTCTTTGCCATATTTGTCTTACCTCGGTTTTGACTAGAACTTTGATAATACTGTCAGCAAGTAGCAGTATTCGCACTTCACGGTTGCTGGTACTACACCCAAGCAGCGATTGAATCACATCAAGCGACTGTGTAGACATTGTCAATTCTCGAAGTATGTTTCATCAATTGGATCTACGGTAAGCCAGTTATTCATCCAACGAAATCGTTGGATGTTGAAAAGTACTACTCGTCTTGTCCTTGTTGAAGCTTTTTATGTGATTTTAAGATATGTGGTACCATCAAGCAAGACCCGAAGAAACAGATGGCAGTGATGGATATGCTTTATGAGAAGCTGATGACTTTCAATTAAGAATTGCGCAATTATGAACTTACTGGTGTTCTATGGATGGCAGGTGACGGCTATACAAATGACAACACCAGTCACCTCACTGAAACTGAGGAGAAAAATTAACAGAGGACATGATCAACACTCACTTGCAGCTTCCTCCAGAATGTTACCAAGCAGCTCCAGATATTCATATTGCTCAAGAAGGGACATGTTTAACCGGTGTTTTGTCTCTGTGAGTGACTTGAGAGGAGACAGCGCCTGCTCAAGAGGTCCCCTTGGATGGGATTGTACACTACTGGTGCATCCTTTGTTTCTTCCGTAGTCATGGTATGTGATTGCTTCAAGGATCTTCTGGCCCTAACTCCCCTTCTGATACAAGCAGTGTTTACAGATGTGCTGGTACCTATGTCCCTACACCCCAATCCCTCAGTTGATAAGGTCTGAGTCTGAGAATCACAATCTCTGGGTCTAGTATCTTTTGTTAATATGCTATGGATGTCGATGCTTGTTTTTCAAACAGTTGATTGTGGCCCGCCGTTGCTAATTCTTTCACAATCTTCCTCCTCCCTGGTTTGTGTACACGATTCTGAATTCCTGTCGCTAAATCCTGATCCTCCAATACTATGCTTCTTCTGAGAAAATACTCTTTTCTCATGTTCCGTTATCTCTTTAGCAATCGAAATTTCCCAGCGAAGGAAGCGTTTGCCCGATTTGCACACTTTTCCTCGTATGATGTCGTATGTGTAACCCTCGCAATGTCTCTCATGGTCATCGTCCTTTTCAAAGGAACACAAATCCTCTGCACCATCTTCATCAAATCCATCCAATTCTTTCCGGCTTCTTTCAGTTGACTTACCTTCAGGACGTCTACAAAGATCTACCTGGGTTCTCGTGGAGATAAATTCATTATGGAGGTGAGCATTCTCTATTGTCAAACCAGGTTCATTTTGAGCTTCACAGCATTTCTCACAAAAACAAAACAGCTGATCAGAAGTCGACAATCCTGTAAACACAACATTAGATTTTGAAATACGAACCGGTGCCCCACTCGCATGAGATGCACGTTAAATTAGAGGAATCTCACACACGCTTAAATCGGCCAACTTGGCAGCTGTCTCGTTGATATCGTCAGATGAACCGGGACCAGATTCTGCACTAGATGATGGCTGAATTTGTGATCCCCAGTCTCCACTTCTCACCAAGTTCCTGTCAATGATAGCCTCCGACACCATGTTGAAGTCAGAGGAAGAATTTTTTAAGGGTGTCACATTGGAAGTCAATTTTTTCGTCTCTGCTGTATTGCTGTACAGTCTGCCAGCTGATCTATCAACATCAGCTGCACCGGAACCAGACGCCGTAGTAGCCGTTGAAGATTGGATCTCTAAATCAGAAATTCCAATGATGATTAGGTTTTCACTCTCGAGTCCCTCAGTAAACGTGTTCACGCGAACAGAAGAGTCGAGACGGCGAGAAGGTTCAATATCCTGAATCAGAAATCCAGGGCTCATCACGTTGTCAGGTTCCAAGCTTTCATTTCCACAGCCAACAATGGAGGTTGGACTTAGAACATCACATTGAGAGGTGTGATCTTCATCAGATGTATCCTCGTCGACGGAAAGTGATGCTTGACTTTCCATGTAATGATATTGAGGTCTCTTAATCTTGCTGAACATGACGTAAGGAACTGTGGCAGAGAAGGCGACGGCAGTGAAGGTTGCGAGATTTTTTGTCAAGGTCCCAGGGTCAAAGGTGATTGCTGCTCTTAACATCCATTTCATCTCTTGTTCACCAGGTAACCCAACAGGGCTCGTCATTTGAAACTGATGCTTGAATGGATTCAATCTTCTCATAAGTCACCCCGACCTGGGGAAGCATAATCTGAATTACACGGAAGTGTTCTTTCCAAAGTTCTACAAAGATAATATACTTAGTCCTTGCACATCTTTTATGCTATGAATCGATCTGTAGTTTAGGCTAACAGATCGTGCAAGTTATATATTGCACGTAAGTAATGCAATGCAATGCATGTGGACAGAAAATAATAACCTCAAATTAAATGCTGGATACAGCGTTAATACTTCATATATGGCCATGTATGTTAGAAATTGCAGAAGTCACGGCTAATTCCTCATGAAACCAACTGCAAAGCTTGACCCGCAAATTCAAAATCATGAAAACCTTCACACCAAAATAAAAATAAAAGTAATCCATTTCCGATCCTCAAATTTCAAATCACTTGCTAAACTGGACAAACACGCAATTCACCTGGAAAATCGAAGCAGGAGAATGTAGTAATCGATAGTATTCCCCGCATCTCGAAGAATTCGAGCCTGAAACCCACCCAATTCAGTCCCGAATAAACTACACACCGCGAACCTTTTTCAAATAATAACAACAAATACCCTAATTTTTCAACCAAGAACCATCACGCTGCTCCAAAAACCGGCGATCCCATCCGGCAACTGCTTCAGAAGATTTTCTGCCGTCCGGTGATAATACTTTAATGGAAGTCGATTGTCCACATCCACCTTCTTCGTCCTCTGCGCAATATTCAGAATGCCCTCCATTGTGACCGCTCCCACCCTCACAGATGACGCAAGATACAGCAACACCAGAAAAAACCCAACATGCCAATGCACTGCAGCGTCACCCGCTTGTACTTCGACACACAAATTGAGCTTGCGTATCACTCCTACAATCGCAGCATCGCCATAACCAGGCGCACAATCACCAAACAGGGGCCTGCGAAACCCTAACACTCTTTCCCGACAATGTTCCCGACTAGATGAACTTCTCGCACTAGGTTAGACACGCTCAGATGTTTCTGATCAACGAAAACAGGCACAGCAGTAGGATTGATGCTTAGGATCGGTGGATCTGGAGATGGGTTTGTGGAAGCTGAGACACAGATTGGATACTGAGTTAGTACTTGCTTGATTCTGTTTCATTTTTGAAATTCAGTGTTTCTTTTTTATGATTTGTATTCATTGAGATGGTTAACTAGTTTCAAACCCTTGTTGACATGACTCATAGGAGTGTACAAAGGTTCAAACATCACGATCTAACCTTGTCCAAAATTATGTCCTTGAGATCTGTTTTAGAATCTTCTCTCGTTCCAAATGTCTAGATATTGGGATGTCATATCCCTCTTGAAGTATGCATGTCTGGAATATAGCATTGTCGAGTACATAAATTTGCTTCTTGAAATAGAACAAGCCATCACTAAGAGTGTAATCTTGATATTGTATATTGCCCACCTTCAGCCGATTGCTAACCATCTTGAAATAAGCATCTTAATACGTATCTTTCTTCCATTCTCCCTCTTTGATTAGATTTGAAATGACACTATTAATGGTAGCAATTTCTGCCTTTTCTCCCGATTTGCCCTTCAAGTTTGGTCTCTACCATAAGCTGTCTAGTACAATATGTTGTCGCCATTACTTGTACTCAAGTTGGATATCAAAAAGTTGTAATGGTTCTTCTCAATGATGATGCCACAATTTCATACTTTTCATATACAAATCATGTAGCAAGGGTCGATGGTTAGTTCAAACAACCACTGGCTTCTCTAATAGATAGTGTGGCCATACCTTTGTAGCATGTACAATTGCTAATTGCTCTCGATCACTTGCAAAGTAATTACACTCTATCCTTATGAGCTTGCATGATTCATATGCCATAAGTTGAAGGCTCCCACCAAAATCTTATTGAAGGATGGATCCAATAGCAAAGTCAGAAGCATCAATGTCAAGCATACAAAGAAGATTATGATCATACGATTGCAATATTGGAGCAGTAATGAGTGCCTCCTTCAATTTATCAAAGGTATTTTTTTTGTTTAAGTTTCCATTCAAATAGGGCATCTTTCTCCAATAGATTTGTCAGTGAGGTAGCAATGTGAGCAAATCATCAAATAAAACAATAATAGTATCCAGCAAGGCCTAAAAACGAGTGAACTTTAGAAGCATCCTTGGGGGTTGGCCAATCCTCTATTGCTTTCATCTTATCTTGCTCCATACGCACGCCTTTGAAGGACACCACATGTCCTAAAAAGGTCACTTCCGACTTCCAAAGTTCACATTTTGATTGCTTGCAATAGAAGCGACTATCTTGTAGCTAGTACATCACTTTTTGTAGGTATTATTCATGCTCTTCACGGATTTTACTATACACGAGGATATAATTAGTGAAGACGACTACATACTTGTCCAAAAGGTCTCAAAACAATTTGTTCATGTGACCGATGAAAGAGGCTAGAGCAATGGTGAGACTAAAGGATTAAACCAACCATTCAAAATGTCTATAGTGCATACAAAATATTGTCTTTTCTATATCCTCTCTTGTAATAGGTGTTTGCCAATAGCCGCCCCAAAGGTCTAATTTACTAAAGCTGGTTGCACTTCAAAGTTGATCAAGAAGATCATCCACGCATGGAAGTTGATATGCATTTTTAATAGTTTGTTTATTGAGACCTCAATAGTTGATTCAAAGGCAAAGTCCACCATCTTTTATAGGTACAAAGAGTACAGGTCCTTTCTATGGTGATGTACTTTTTCAAATGAGGCCTTTTTCTAAGAGTTTGTCTAATATCTTCCGTAGCTCTTGAAGTTCTTTTGGTGTTAGGCAATAAATTGGTCGACTTGTTGGTTTGGTTCTAGTCAATAGTTATATTTGAAAGGGGGCACCTCCATCAAGACGTACGCCATGAGGTAGGTTGGTTGGAAAAACATCTTGATATTTTTGTATGAGTTGCTCTGCCCGTTCTATCCCTTCAATTGTCTTTCCTACCATTGATGCAAGATTTGGAACCATTATATATATTAATTGCTCCTGCTATAGTTGCTTCTTTATAAAGGTTGTCTCTTCAAGTAAGTCTTTAGTTGTACATTGTCTTTCCTCTTCACTTGATGTCAAGGTACAATGAGTCACCTTGCATCCTCCATCTTTAAAAGAGATTGTCCTTGCTACCTAATCAACTTTCTTATTTCTCATCTCTAGCAATGGCATACCAAAGATAACATCATACCTTAGCTTTGTCACCCTGAATCTCTTTTTTAAGACGTATGTGTCTATCAATTTTAAGGTTTTTTCTTCGCATGTCTCACTCAATATGTTTTTTCAGTCATCTGCAAGATATATACTTCTTCTTATGATTCCCTTAGTTTTAATTCGAAGCTGATTGGCAATTTCAGTTGAAATCCAATTTTTTGTAGAGCCACAATCTACAAAGACTCGACATGGTTGTCCTCTTAGTAGTCCCGTTAGATGTACCAATTGACTCTTTTATTGTTTTTTGAGGCCATACTATTTATCTTTGAGAGATAGTAGCTATCTTTAGTATTTGCCCTTGGTGTCTTTATTGGAGAGCTTGGTTTTCATGCTCTGACTCATTATCGACTAAATGAGTTTTGAGATTGTAAACTCATCTTGTCTTGTTGATACTTAAATTTTGACATTTTGATCAACCTCTGATTTGATGGCCTGGCTCCCAATAATAGAAACACAATCTTTTTTGCATCAATATTTGTCATCTTTGTGGTGTCAATGATCTTTGTATGGCATCAATTTCCATTGGCGTTGGTTGTTGTGCCGTAATATTAGATAGTCGCATAGGACTTCGTGCTATAGGTCGTGCTCTATGATTTCTAAAATCTATAGCATTGACCCTCTCTACAATCCAAATCGCCTCTTCAAATGTTTGTCAATCTCTTAGTTCCACCTCTCGCTGGACTCTATGTTTTAAACCTCATAAGAATTGATCTATCATCTCCGCCTCCAAAGCATTGCTAATTTGGAGACATAGGGACTTGAATCAGGAGATGTAAACTTGTACCAACCTAACTTATGTAAGATTTGCCAACTGATCGCGTGTTTGTTAGGGACATATTCCTTAGAACTTTCTAGAGAGAAGTTTCTAGAAGCTTCTAGAAAACAAGCCTCTGGAACCTTCTAGAAGAGAAGTTTCTAGAAGCTTCTAGAAAAGAATCCCTTGGAACTTTCTAGAAGCTTCCTAGTTAATAGAAGTAGCTCGAGAAGTTTCTAGAACCTTCTAGAAAGGAAGCCTCTGGAACCTTCTAGAAGCTTCCTAGTTAATAGAAGTAGCTCGAGAAGCTTCCTAAGTAGGAGTATATATAGGAATCGAGGCTGAAGAGTTCTTCAGTCTCGACAACACATCTCTTGGAGTTCTAGCTCACCTTTCTGGTGTTGTTCTTGTACTCATCTGTTTAATCTAGTTTTGCTACTTCTTCTTGAACTTCTTGTTAGATTTCAAGTCTCTATTTTGTGTCCGTGATAGTTTGTCGAGACTACACTAACTTGAGATATCAGAGCTAGTTCTTTCTTAGTAGAGTGTGGATTACCCCTCTACTTGAAGGTATACTAGCATTTTTTAGAGGTTGCGGATTATCCTCCTCTAAACTGATACTTCTTTTGTTACAATATTGGAGTCTTATTCTTCTTGGAGAGAGTGGATTATCCCTCTTCTTGAAATTCTTAAGGCATTTTATAGGTTGTGGATTACCCTCCTATAAACCAATATTGCCTCTTATAGGGTCATTTTTGTCCTTCTTTGAGAATGGCCGGAGGTCAAGACATTAGTATGACAGAAAGTTCGGAGTCTAAGTTAGATGCTATTATGAATGCCTTCGCTCCGTTATCACAAAGAACTGCAGAGATTGAAGGAGTGGTGGCAAGGCTTCATAATGATGGAGTATGTGGGATAGCACAATCTAAACTACACCAGCCTCAAATTTCGGCACTTGGAGAAACAACTTTACCTCAGGTTCGACAAGAACCACTAGTTCTACAACATAAGGAGCCTCGAGTTAACCTTCCAGATAAGTTTGATGGAACACGTTCCAAGTTTCGAGGATTTGTCAATCAAATCAGGTTGATAACAGTTTTACAGCCTGAATGATATCCAACGGAGGAGTCACGTGTTGGGCTTGTTGGAAACTTACTTACGGGACAAGCTCTATCATGGTTTGCTCCTTTGTTTGAGAAACGATCATCCATATTAAACAACTTCGAAACCTTTCTGGAAGCATTTGCGGAAGCATTTGGTGAACACGATAAGGTTCGATGGGCTACAACAAAGATCCGGTCGCTACGACAAGGGATGCGTTCTACATCAGTCTATGCTTCGGATTTCAGGCAATTAGTATGCGACATCAATTGGGATGAAGAAGCGTTGATGAGTCAATTCTATTGGGGTTTAAGAGATGATGTGAAGGATTTGCTGTTAACTCTTCCTGATCCACGAACGCTCAATGAAGCCATTAGCCAAGCTGTGAAGTGCGATAATCGCCTATTCCAACGTCGCCAAGACCAACGCTTAAGACAACATACAATTCGCCATGCTCCAACTATGTCGGCAAGCGGTGTGAATTCGCATTCAGAGGTGGAAGACATGCAAATTGATGCGGTACGTATCAAATCTCTTACTATAGAAGAAAAAAAGTGACGTATGGAGGAAAATTTATTCTTGTATTGCGGTGGAGAAGGCCACAAAGTCGGAAACTGCCCCAAAAAGCAAAATCGAGGCATAGTCAAGACTAGGGGAGTATTTGTTCAGGAAAACGAGGATGCCCAGCCATAGTAGGAACCGTGCGACTGGACAATGAAATATCCCAACAACAATCAGGTTCCTTTCTTTCTGCCCAACCTACACTTTGTTTTACAATCCCTCTATTTATCGGCCCTCAAAAACTGAGAACCTTAGCACTACTAGACTCAGGAGCATCTGCTTGTTTTTTAGACGAAGAATTTGCAAAGCGTCATAAGATCCCTTTAGTACAAAAATCAAAACCTGTTCATGTTGAGGTCATAGATGGGCAACCTTTATTGTTTGGTAGCATCACCCATGAATCAAAACCTATAGAAGTAATGTTTAAAGACCATAGTAGTCATATTATTTTTAATATTATTAGAACTCCATCAAATCCT